GCCCTGAAAGATTAATAAGAGTAATTTTAAAACTTAGTAGCGGCCGCCATTGTTGGCAGCTGAAATTTGGCTGGGCCGCGCTATGAATTCTGGGATATGGTGGGCCACGAAGGACACACCCGACCCATCCTTCAAATTCGGGGAAATGAAGGCCGCATTTGAAGGAGTCGATGAATTGGGACAGCCTTCGTTGCCTGGCTGTTTCTCTTGGACCTCCATTCCTTCACCCTGGCAATATTTACAAGTTGCTTACCTGGATGCTGGTCAATTCTGTGAATCTTGAACCACTGGTTCAAGCTCTGTTTCTATTGCTCTTCATCTGCCTGCCCTCCTGCTACAATAACCTTGCAGTACCAGATCATTCAGGCTGGATTCACAATCCACGCTCACCCCTTCTGGGTCCTCACCCGGACCATTCCACCTCCCCCTCACATCACGCTCCACCTGCAAGCAAGTAAGCCACTGGACCTCACTCAGTATTCCACTAACATTTCAGTGACCTCAATCTGCAACCCACGACTGCTTCCAACTCACGTTTTGGTTCTCCTCTCATGTTTCCTGAGTTTAAGTATTTACCTTGTGTTCTTTAAATAAAGGACACAAGGTAGGTTTGAAAACCTACCAATATTAGCTTTCAGTTTACTGCTTCAGTTTTTATGATGGCAATTTGCATATACTCCAGAATGTTATGAAGAGTGATCAGATGAATTGCAAAGTCCTTCTTTGGCATGAAAATGAACTTAATCCCCAAATCCGGGTTTCCACTGCATTGATGCCATAAAACGTCTTGCTGAGATCATTTCAATAATCTTCTCGTTAACACAAGTGAGAATGTGTCTTCATGACATGCTGATTGAATTAGAATAGCAGACTGGATGCGTTAAAAGGAGGGTGATGCTTGAAATCATTGTTCTTCCTGTTAACCATGGTTGCCTGCAAGGAAACACGTGCAGCCATCATTGCATTGCATGAAAAGGGCTTCACAGGGAAGGATGTTGTTGTAAGTAAGACTGCACCCAAATCAACCATTTATCTCTTCATCAAGAGGTTCAATTGTTGTGAAGGCTTCAGGGCCCCAAAAAAATCCAGCAAGCACCAGGACTGTCTCCTAAAGATGAGTCCGCTGCGGGTTCAGGGTGCAACCAGTATAGAGCCTGCTCAGGAATGGCAGCAGGCAGGTGAGAGTGCATATGCACGTAAAATGAGGCAAAGACTTCTGTAGGACGGTCTGGTGTCAAGAAGGGCAGTGAAGAAGCCACTTACCTCCAAAAAGCACCAGGGACGGACTGATATTCTGCAAAAATTACAGTGAGTGGACTGCTGAGGAGTGGGGTAAAGTCATTTTCTCTGATGAAGCCCCTTTCTGAATGTTTGGGGAATCTGGATGTGACCCCAAAGGACCCAACATGACACACAAGCTTGCGTTATTGCTTTTTATTTTATTTACAGTATCACTGTGGACACTGTGTGCTTCAGCAATTTGCAGTGTTCACTGCTCCAGCAGCTCTCTCCTCCTCTCCGGCCTGGCCGCTACTGAAATAGGGAAGGCATGATTAGATGATGCTTGCCGGCTGTGAAAACCTGCCTTCCCTGACACCACACGCCTAACCCACTGCTCCGCCGTTGTATCTTTCTGCCACAGCAACGAAAGTCTTGATGCTTTTTTAGCATAGTTATAATTTTGTTATAGTTATAGTATCGTTATAGATTTATTGTTGTAGTTATTTTTAGGGGCACTTTTGCTTGCGCAACCCCCAAAAGGGTCTAAACTCACTTATGCAAAATACAAATAGGGGCTGGTTCAAGACTTTTGCACAGTATTGTGAATCACAACGGTTGATGAGCACGTGAAGGCAGCACAATCGGTGGTACCGAGTCTGTTGTTACTGATACCACAGCTGCTCCCGAGAGGACAGAAAACGTCAGTGTGCGTCCGTAAACCTGGTAACTACTCTCAGCTGAACCTCTCTGATACTCGTTATTAGTAATGAGTTGTTTTTTTCGCGTGACTTTCTCTCGGCTTGATAAAGGGCGGTGTAGAAAGCTCTGGTACGTAACGACTAGCTTCATTTTTAAAGCGCTGTCGCAGTGAAATGAGGCTGCTGCTGCTTGTTTGTGCGAGTTTTTAATGAAGAAATGTTTTCAGTCCGTTTGTTACTCGCTTGTGTTTACATAAATAACTTTACATTATCACAGAACAAGAAAGCGCTTTGTTTGTCACATTCACCTTAGCCTCAACACTGTATGATTACGTTTAAAAACGAAACTAAGAATAAATATTCCGAGTGAGAAGCAAATAAAAGAAAAAAGACATTTTATTTAATGTTATTTACTACAGACAATGTAAATTATATTTGAAAAGGATTTTTTTATTTTGTTTTTTACAATACTTTTTATGGAGCAGTTTTCTTTTAAGGCCCATCCCAGATAGCAAGGAAACATTGAAACAACGTTGAGTCAATATCAGGCGACGTCATTGAATCAACGTTGAAGTGTGACGTTGACCTA